GTATTTGCGAGCCTGCAAAAGCACAGTCTAATTATTGATTCCAATAACTTTGAGACAGTAATATTTCGAATTTATTTCATATTCAAATTCATATTTCAAATTCAAATTCATTGACTTTATTCTAAAATATATACCAAATATTATTGTCTCAAAGTCTCGTCTTCTTTTTACTCAAATTGTGAGTCCCATTAGTCCCCTCCTTGTCCGAGCCGACACTGATATTGCTAGAACAACCGCTTAACATAATAAGTACAAATTTTCAACTTCAAAGACACAGTTCACATCATAAATTCTACCAACAAACTTCCTATTTCGTACTCTAGCTATAAAATTTCCTCGGAATGAATGTTTAAGTAAATATATTTCGCACATATATATTTCGTTCATGTCCAAAAATACACGAATATAATCCCAGTCTCGGGCTTCGCCCTCGGAATATCACTCCGGGTAATATTACTTCGGGTAATATTAACCAGAATCCCCCACGCTCCAAGATCTACAAATACGGAAGTATTTCATATATATCAAGTGGTGTATACAGCGGCAGCACTTCACTTGCGATAGTAACTTCTAGTATAGGGTACTAACTAGTGCTTCAAAATCAGGATCCAACAATTTTATGGAAAGGATGTGTGTACCCTCAAGGAGGAAATAAAAGATGTTGAAAAGGCTGTGGAATAGGAAGGTTGGACGATATTAGGAAAGTGTAGGATAATCGTATTAGAGTCTCAGCTGGACCCCGAAGCTTTGAGATAAGTTAAATGAAAAAACAAGAATAGCAGTTTCACATTCCAATTAAATGTACCAACTATTAATTTTAATATAATAAAAATAAATGATTTTTACTAAAGATAAAAAACTGGTGGTCTAGAAAAATTGCCAATGGTCTAGAAACCTCAGTTCCTATACTACTTGAGTTTCCGAATTTCGATAACTCTATTTTGAATGAATTGTTTCCATTCCTTATCGAGCTGTGTTATCCAATACAGCGAGACCTTCAAGTCTGTCCAGCATGTCAATGGACCAAGATTTATGACTGATTTCAATGCTCGTTCAACATTATCGATAAGCCGGGCGAGTATGAGCGCTGACAATAGTTCTAAGTGCGGAATCAACTGTCTTTCCAGGGGAGACACTCTCGATTTCGACGTTACGAAGCTTACGTATACACCATGTAATGTCTCCATCTTTAGATAAATTACTGCGGCATACGCTTTGACGGAGGCGTCACAGAACCCGTGTAGCGAATAAGACATAACTTCTTCCTCTACGCCGACGACAAAACATCTAGGGAAGACCATCTGTTCGACCTTCTCGAGTTCTCCAACTAATTTGAACCATGCTGACTTCGACGTCACATCTAGTGGTTCGTCCCAACTGATTTTTCTTTCATGCAGCTCTTGTAGCAGGATTTTAAGTCGAATTGTTATTGGCGACAGGAATCCAACAGGGTCGTATATACTTGATACCACACTAACAATGTTTCGTTTTGTTGGTTCGCAATTCTTTGCATTTTCTACAAGGCTCTTTAGGTCGAAAAGGAAACAGTCTGTCGATGTGTTCCATCGCAAACCTAAGACTTTCTGCTCTCCTTGGTTAAAGATTGGCTTGCCACTTCCTAATTTGGTTTTTGTGTACGATTCATCTTCTAGACCGACAGCATTCATTGGACCTTCTGCGTTTACGAGTTCGTTGGATGAAGCTTGATCACTTGACGTACTCATAACTGAAGCTGTATCATTCGAGTTATTCGTAGAATCAGTAGTTATCTGCAATCGGGATTCATTTGCATCGATTTTATTCATTAATTCTTTAGAATTTGACATGAACTTTCTCAGGTTAAACCCTCCTTCAGCCAATATCAACTTAGATTTCACGTAAAATTCATAGGTATCACTCACGCTCGCTCCTCCAGCGCTAAGGTCATCAACGTAGATGTTTTCTAAAAACCTTTCTATGAATGTGGGATCAACTATTTCATACTGTCCGATGTGGTGTGCAATGGTTGCATTGAGTAGAAATGGGCTTGATGAAACTCCAAAAACGACTCTGGTAAAGCGAAGGATGATGATTTCTGGTTTCTCCTTGGAAATGTCGTCTACCCACAGAAACCTCAACACATTTCTGTCGACTTCCGCAATAGAGACCATCAGGAACGTCTCCTCGATGTCACTAATCATTGCTACCTTGAAACTTCGAAATCGTATCAGTATGTCTAATATATTCTGGGACAAAGATGGCCCAGTATATAAACAACTGTTCAGCGAGATTCCGTTGGACTTAGAGGACGCATCGTAAACTACCCTCAAACATGTTGTTTCCTTGTCTCTGCGTATGACGGCATGATGTGGTAGATAGTGTACCTTGCCAATTTCACAAGCCTCAGATTCATTTACTCTTTCTACAATCTCTTTCTGAAGTTGGTCTTTAATGACGTTGTCATATTCTTCCAAAATTCTTGGGGTCTGCTTTAATCGATTGTACAGAGAATGAAAACGCTGTAGGGAAGCCTTGTAGTTATCTGGCAAGACCGGATGAGAGTGTTTCCATGGTAATTGAACTTCGTATCTTCCATCTTTACGTGATATCGTGTTCGTAAAATCCTCATAAACTGACGCCTCTTCTGGTTGAATACCTAATGCCTCTAACTCCCAAAATTTCTTTATTTCATTATCTAATCCAACACCGTCTTTCAAGGGATTCGCTGCACATTTCAAAACATGTGTGCATGCAAGGTTTGTCACCGGCTGGTGACTCACAGTGCTTCTTTCGATTGGGCCAGAGAGCACCCAACCTAACTTCGTGTTCATGGCTGTGGGCCCTGATTCGCCTTTCACTACTTCTCCTGTTACTAATTGCCAATACTGATCTGATCCAACTAGTATCTCTATCGTTGCTGCTTCTATCCCACTAGTCTCATCTGCTAATTTAAGGGATGCTAGGTGGTCGTACTGGGATTGGGACACTCGGGTGTTTTGGTTGACAAGTGGAGAACAAATTGTAGGTACACAATAGGCATTAAGATTTACTGCTAGACTTCCTTCTTTACCAATACATAACTGGACAACATCGCATACTTGCACTGATTCCCTTTCTGAGTTAAACGTTTTAATCATAAGCGGTTCAGATTTGAGTGTTGGGAGATTTAACTTGTCCCTTAATTCTGTCGTTATATAGGATCTTTGGCTGCCACTGTCCAAGATCACTCTAACTGGGATGCTTGTTTCTGGTGCATCTGACTTATATGCTTCTGCTTGTGCAGTTTGTAACAAAATGGAAGTACCATTTTCAATATATAGAGAATGAGATTTTCTTTCCTCATGGGGGGTTTGCTTGTTATCCGGGGTGTTGTTGGTTTTCTTGTTATCTGGGGTGTCATTGCTCTTCTGGTCTTTGGGAGGTTTGGTACCTTCATGGTCGACGTTGTGGGTTTCTTTCTCATTTTCATTTCTTGATGGTCTGGCATTGCATATACTCGCATGGTGACGTTTCCCACAGTGATAACATTTCAGGGACGATGTGCATCCTCGGCTGACATGATTTTTCCGAAGGCAGATATAACATCTGCCTTCCTTTTGTAGGATCTGCTTTCTCGCATTCGGGTTGGTGACAACATTACAATGAACTGAGGGATGGGTATTTTTACAATAAGTGCATGTCGGAGGGGTTCCATTGTTTAGGAGGGCTGCTGCACTGCTGTATCCCCTTGGATGTGGGGAATATGGTGGTTTGCTTGCTGGTTTTGAACTCAACATGTTGGCTCTTTCACGGGCTTCTAATTCAGACTTAACAGTATCCAACATTTTGTCAAGGGTCCATGTGCTCCCCAATGCCTTCGTAACAATAACACGCATTGCTTGTGGTAGCTTATTCATGAGAATTGAAATCATTAGATTCCCATATGAGCCTGAGTTGACTCCAAGACTTGTAAGGCTTCTCACATGGGTTTCTACTTTGTCATAAAGTTGACGAAGCATTTTGACATTGTCAATACTTCCAACATTTGGTATATTACACAGGGCTTCCATGTGGCTATTGATAATAATTTGTTGATTTCCAAACCTATCTTTCAAGATCTTAATTGCTTCATCATAGTTTGCATTTGTTAACTGCAGTCCCTCTATAGTTTCTGCTGCAGAATGTTCCAAAAGTGATTTTAAATAATTGAACTTTTCAATCTTTGTGAGATTAGCATTATTGTGAATGGCAGATTCATAGCACTCCCAAAATGTTGTCCACTTTGTGACATCCCCACTAAATTTTTTCAAGCTTAACTTTGGTAATTTTACAGTAGCAGAATAAGATGAATTTTGACTTACATTAGACGAGCTGGGTGATGTGCCACTAACAGTGCTACCATGAGCCAATGTCTCATTTGCAATTTTCTCTAGTGCCATTTCAATGCTTACTATCGAGTGTTGTAATCGTTCCTTAAATATATCAGCTTGTTCAATCTCGTTTTCGATTTCTTCTTCCTTTACCAAACTTAATAATTCTTCATCGTGCACACTCAGAGTTTTCATTTTTTCCTTGAGGGTGGTCAGCTGCTGTTTCACCTTAATAACTGTTTCTGGGTTGTTTGGGTCGAATACTTGAAGACTTTCTTCAGCTGCGGCAATTATGCGTTTGGCTGAAGCCTGGTGACCCCCGCGGACTCTAATTTTCCTCTTTAATTCTTCTTCAGTCATCTTGTATAGAATGGTTATAGGGTTTCATAAATTTCTCAAGTCCAGGATTAACTCGAATACTCGATCATTGAATAATCAATGACTTTACGCAGTATTTTCACCAATAAACTTTGAATATATGAATACTAATTATTCAACTCACGATCAACGATGTTTGCCAAGTTCGTAAACAAATTCTCGATTTCCCTTGATTTAAACGTACATCCGGCTCGAATAAGGACCATGTAAGAGACTTAGGATCTAAAGGCTTCCGCGGGATATTGAATTTGTTTCTTTTTAATAATAAATGATAAAATATACGCAAACATATAGACTTATACAAACAATAATTTTACTGAGTCCGCCATCTTGAATATTCTCTCCTCGTGGTCGCCACTATATTGTTCTTACATAACGTTTTACTTCTAACTCTCTCACACTGCCTACGGTATTTTAGTTGAAAAACTATTATAATAGTTTCTTAAAGAAATACTTTAGCATACCATGCATGCATGCAGCACATCACCACCTCGCACATGAAATTTGTTCATGTGATAACATTATTTTATTAATATAATAAATATAATACGCTATTTGCATAATAATAAACTATATATAACACTTTTTGTTTGTGGCAACACCACATAAATTTATTAACTGCAAAGCTTTCGATCTTCTTTCAATCCGGGCTTACGGATCGAAAGCTTTGCAGTAAAAAATTTACGTGGTGTTTCCACAAACAAAAAGTGTTATATATTTTATCGCCATGCAATCATACAAAGAACTGAATAAATATATATTAAATAAATGAACAAATAATACTAAATATAATCAGTTTTTTGAATTAGTAACCATATAAAAACAATGTATGTCAACTAATCTCAGTTTCTTGTTCAATTTATTGCTCTTCCTTCCCTACTCTTTGTTGTCCAGCTTGAATTTTATTGCTTTTATAATGTCTTCTTTGTAAACAGGACAGCTCATATTGTTGTATTGTTAACACCCATTACACGTTCTGGAAAACAATGGACAAATTTTCGTGTAAGTTAACACAGTTTCACATCACAGTGCATCTACAGTAGGTGGGGTAACTAAGAGGTCTAACCTGCGATCAGGCCTATAAATAAATAAACATGCTTGATACAAACCTTAATTAACAAAAGTCCATGCCGTACAACCATATTTCGGTTGGAAATCTGATTGGTCTATGTGACAACAGATTTCTTAATCTGTCATTTGCTTGGTTGGTGCTAATTAGATTATTCTATTGTTGTCGATATATGTTATAGTGATCACAAGTATGATTAGATTGTTGTTGTCGTTGTGTGAATTATGTGAGTCATGATTTAGTAACAGTTACTATTTTTAGACTTTTAGGATTAGGGTTAGGATTAGAGTTTGGATTAGGGAAAGGCTTAGGATTTGGGTTATGATTAAGATTAGGGTTTGGCTTGGAGTAAGGGTTAGGGTTAGGTTTAGGGTTAGGATAGGGGTTAAGTTTAAAATACAAAATTACAAAATCTAAAAATAGTAACTCTTCCTAAAACGGGACAGGTATAGGATATAACTACCCAACATATCTTGTATTAATAGGTGATACTTGGGCAAACAGTCCACAGTCGATATTAAGTAAAAATGTCTCTCGGGAAACATATATACGTCAGAGTTAAATATCAGAGTACTTAAGGTAGGGAGTGTTAGGGAAAATTGCTTTCCTTTTGCTTCCTAATTATTAGATAATTTTTACAAAACAAAAATGTCACTCCATTCTTTAAAGGCAAACCAAACCATACCATATTAAGGTTTTAGGTTGAGTGGGAGGAGATTTTCACATGTGTAAAACTTGAATAAGAAGGAAGCAAGAGCAGGGTGATGTGTTTGTTATCGATTTTCCTCCTCAATCTCAGGTTGGGGTCCACCAGAACTCGGTTTTGGCCAGAACCCCGATTTTTCAAAGTTCCAGTTCCGGCCGGAACCTGCACCGGAAGAGTAAGAACAACTTTACTTAAGGAGTAAAAATTACTCCAAAACATGGAGTAAAAACAGGAGTAAAATTTACTCCAAAAAAGGAGTCGTTCTGTGCCTTTTTTATTTACTCCACTTTTGGAGTCAATTTGACTCCTCGAAATTAACAGTGTATATATATATATATATATATCATATATATATATATATATATATATATATATATATATATATATATATATATATATATATATATATATATATATATATATATATATATATATATATATATCTATATATATATCTATGTATATCTATATATATATATATATATATATCTATATATCTATGATTTCGATATTTTTTGTTGAGTTTTTTTCTCAAGGTCTTGCTTACTTTATTTCCTTCCACTCGTGAGCTCACTACGTGATCATGGTGATCAAACGTAGTGTCCAGGCCTTGTGACCCTGGATGGACACTTAAAAGGAAGGAAACCACACTGTAAACGTAAAGAATTTTATTCATTATTGATATTAAAATTACATAGTCGTGTGTACGGTTCGTTCCTCTACGGCCACGACCTCTTCTATTTCTTCCCATCTTCGCACACTATTTCAAACCTAGGAGAAGCATTGTAAGACCAGGGTTGTCTGCCTGTTATATATACTCTAGGCAATTCATAGCGCAACAGGTAGAAACGAAGGGTAATTATGCCACCAACAATAAGGTTACAGGTGTTTAAGTAAACAATTAGATCATTGCACTAAAAGTGCTCTAGTTAATTTAATAACGAGCATAATAGATTTCATATTTTTATGTCTTTGTTTGACATTCGACAAAGCAGCAACACTCGCTAAGCACGAGGCGCGCATAAGTCTATACAATGAACTATAGAGTGCTCAAGAACGTGGTACCCCGAACGAGCATAATATATGATATATATCTATATATCTATATCTATATATCTATATATCTATATATCTATATATCTATACAGGGTGTATCAAAAAAAGCGCAATCCTCGACTGAAATGTAAATTGCTAAACAAATAATAGACGAAAACGTTAAAGTTTACATTCATTTTAAAGCGTAGCCATTCAGCTTTCTAACAGTGGGTTGTTTCTTAAATTTGACTCATTGGTTCGCTGGTAATAA